GTTGGACCAATTAATGGAAGTCATGGAAATCAGTAGTTTTAGTGTTGATAGCAATGTGACTGCATCTGTTGAGAAACTAGCGAGCTTCCTTGTGCAGGTGGCTGTCCACTGTAAGAACAAACTGCTGAAGTAGAAGAGCCTGGGTTAAAATCCAGCAGCCCCCTGCTTAAGTCTTTATCTAGGTTTAGGTCCAGCCTTAGCCATGAAAGCTCACAGGCTGGGCTTTGGGGCCAGTCATTCTTTCTCACCTTACTTCCCTCTTAATGTGTGTTGTGATGGAGCAAGATCTCTTAATATAGAAATTAATTCATCTTTATATTCTGAGATGAATAAAATTAATATAGCTTAGAGATAATTGCCTTGAAGTACTGCACAAAAGGCAGGTTATAAAGCAGAAAAATGACTATTTTCGGAATAAGGAGAAAGCAAAGAGGTCTCAGGTCCTGGACGGTTCCAGATAACCAAAACTTTAATATGGAGAGGCCAAAGTTACCATCTGATTTCTCAGTATTTGACATGAATTTAAAGTGAGCAGAACCCAGGAAATGTGTTTTTCCTTTCCAAGATTCAAACCACCCTTGCCATACTTGCCTTTAAACAGGCTTTGAAAACCTGCCTTTTGCCCCAGGGATGAGGGTTGGGTCCTTTCAGTTGGATGTGGCATGAGAAATAAAGTATTCATTGTTTTCCCTCTGGGCAATTGCCATCTTTCTAGGAACTATTATGTTTCTAGGTTTCTTCCTTTTTTCATTTCATAAGTTCCCAGAATCGTTGCAGGGTCAGGCAGCCGTAGGGTTGAGAGGGAGGAAAAAATGAGAGAGGAAGATGGATAGATGGTTTGGGATATGACATCATGGGTGTACAATGTTCAGATGCAGATTGAAACACAAGGCAATAATAGGAGGATTGAATGGAAGCTGAACTGATAATTAGAAGACATAATAGTGTGGTTACAAAAATAGGATTTCAGATGGTAACTCTTACAATGGGGCTATTTTCCAAGACATGTAACAGAGAGAAGCAAGAGAACTACAGCGGGAAGAGAAGCAGGACTATTTCATCCCTTCTGCTGAAAAGCCAATTATATTTGGCTCTTCCACAATTGTCAGAAGGAGCAACTTAAACTATTTCTACTGTAACTTTGGGAACAAGTACCTCTGTTGGCCTCTTTCCATTTTTCCACCCCTCTACCCCCTGCAATCTTTTCTTTTACTAGTCATGTCAGGAACCATATTAAAACTGCTATTTATAAATCACTCTCTTTGAGCAAAGAGAAGGTTAAAAGAAAATGTTAAGTTACTCCGATGTCCACAAAGAAGTGGTTGTGGTTGATTTGTGATCCTTTACAGCAGCTCCCACAATTCTCTCCAGTAGGGTGACTACCATGCTTAGTAAAGTTGGCCTCCAGCTGATTGATTACAGGGGAACATTCTGGCCTATTTTTGGCAAAAATATGGAAATAGGTTTTGACCTTTCCTCCCAGTTTAATATTCCCTCCTGATCTCCCATCCAAACACAAACCCAGGTCAGACCTTGCCTAGTTGCCCTCTGCTTGACCAACCAGCTGCTGGCACATCAGAGCTCTCTTCTGACTCTTACTACTTCTAAATTATTGCCTTGCTTGACCTTTCTAACTCAAGAAGATAGAATGATACCTATCACAAATATTGTTCTCATTTTAGTATTCCAACTTTCTGTTCAATAAGCTCTTTGTCAGAAGGGAAAAGTACCTAAAGTGCTATTTGTCAATGCTCGAGGGGAATTTATATGTTTTTAATATTTTTTTATTATTTAAAATATTTCTACAATTCTGGACAGCTAACAACAGTGATAAAACATTAGGAAATAAAAGACTGCTTTGAGTTGAACTCTTGAACTCACTCATTCTCTTACTTACCCAGTGAAGGAATGAGTTTCTAATGCCTGGGTGATAAAGTATTAACTAGGCAATAGAATGTACATCTCCTCCTCCGTAGTGAAAACGCAAAACCAGCAGATAATTGTTTATATTCCCATGGCTGCTTTTCATTAGTCACATTGGTTACTTTCTCTTTGAGCAACTGGCAACTCTTCCTACAATATTATATAAGCAATTCATCTTTTTTTAAAATGCAGTTCATTGTATAACTCAGGAAAATTTAAGGAAATAGTCCTTTTTAAGGAAGGTAGCTTTAGTAGCTTTTTAAGGAAATAGTCTATTCTAAAATCCATTGGGTGTCCTGAAAATAATTTGTGCTCTTAACCAACTTATTCAGTATAGAAAGTCTGAAATGTTTTAACTATATGGTACATTAAATATCCAGGTTCAGTCTCCCTGACTAGTCCAAAACTCTACCCACCCACCTTTCCAAGTCTTGACTTCCATCAGGGGTATCCAACCTTGGCAAATTAAGACTTATGGCTTAATTCCTTGGCATGGCTGTCTGAGGAATTCTAGGAGTTGAAAGTCCACAAGTCATAAAGTTACCAAGGTTGTACACTCCTGACGCCCATCCTTTCTTCTCATATACAGATAACAAGAGGACAATATAGTGTCCAAAGAGTGGAACTTCTTCCAGGAGACCGAGACAATTTAGCCATTCAGACTCGTGGTGGTCCTGAAAAGCATGAGGTGACAGGATGGGTATTGGTAAGTACCCTCTTCTTGGAGGCTGGTTAAGCGGAATGTTGGCACATCAAGGGGAAAATGACATATTGGCTTTCTAGGTTGAATGATTAGCTTTCACCTAAGAATTAGTATATACCGTAATATATTATGGTTATGCTGTCAACTGTCCCATTTGTATGCAAATTGTAGTGCAGGCCTGCATCTATAAAATATACTACCAATATTGCACCCAGATGTAGAACTCTTAACAGGTCCAAGGACACAACATGCTACATTTTTTAATTTCTCAGTCTTCCAAATGAGAGAGAGATTCATTTTTTATTATTCTTAATTGATCAGGGAAGGAATATCTCTTCCAAAGCAAAATCCAAGTATGTTGAGTGTTTTGTAAAATGAGGTAGCTTTGTCCCGTACCATGTCCCTTATACCAGGGGCAGGTTTCAAAATCTGTTGCTACCAGTTCGCTCGTGGGCATGTGCACTTGCACACATGTGCAACACTTCTGCGCATGCGCAGAAGTGTCTGGGCGGGTGGATGGAGCCTCTCACCGCCGCCGCTACCGGTTCCGAACCGGTAGCAACCCACCACTGCTCTATACCATATCCTCCACAAAATGCAGAGGTTGAGAAGTACTTACCACATAAGATTCACATAAAATTCAAATCATTGTACCTGCTAATCTGCACTTATCGTAAGAAACTTCTTTCTCCACAGGGACGCTTAATCCCACTTCTCCACCTTCCCCAAAATATATGCTAAGATCTTTTTGGTAAGGCAGAGAGTGTTTGTTTTCTGATATTCACCAGTTTTGTTTCCTACCAGTATTCTATTTTGGGGCTTACTAACTCAAGCTGTGCAAAGGGACTTGTTTTTGCATATTACCGTGGACTGTCATAGTCAAAGTCAAACTGTGGATATAGATTGTTACAATCCAAGCAAAGTAAACATACATTCATATACATACTTCCCTATCTCTATGTGCCTTCCAGCTAATAGCATTAGAGGGAGGTGCAATATTAGAAACATCCATCAAGACAAGAAATCCCTGCCACACTCAGTTCCAATTATGAGAACTTCTCTATGAAAATGGTTTTCGGAGCTCCTTATTTGTTTTTAGAAGGTTCACCATGTCTGTTTCCTCCCCACTCCATATAAGACCGCCGGCAGACAAAGATCAGTAAATATAAGGCCAAGCTCTTAGCATCTGATGATACTGTTGTTTTAGTCTCAAATGCTTTCCACTATTGGCAGCAATTGCTGAAACTGTTCTTAATCCTTTCGGAATTAGTACCTAATGGAGACATAACAGAGCCATGGTGGTGCAGTGGTCAGAATGTAGTATTGCAGCCTAACTCACTGCTCACTGCCAGGAGTTCGATCCTGATCGGCTCAAGTTTGATTCAGCCTTCCATCCTTCCGAGATCAGTAAAATGAGGACCCAGATTGTTGGGGGCAATATGCTGACTCTGTAAACCACTTAGAGAGGGCTCTAAGGCACTATGAAGCAGTATATAAGTCTAAGTGCTATTGCTATCAAGTTTATTTAAAGAACATTCAGGGCCATAGCATGTATGATACAAGGATATTATTAACAACCTTGAGGAATGCAATTAACTATGACTCTACTCCGACAGATATCTCCACTGAGCAAAGATGATGCTGGAGAATATGAATGTCACGCATCTAACTCTAAAGGAGAAGCCACAGCTTCTGGAAAAATTACTGTGGTAAATTCCTTAAACGAAATACCTGCAAAAGGTATGTAGGTCTGCGTAAGCACTCCCTTTTCTATTGGATCTGGTTAAGAAAAATCAAATAGCTTGGGTTGATTATTAATTGGTAGTACGTTTTGTCATGATTTGTGACCAAAATAAGTGTTTCACATCTTTGTAAGCTTCAACTGGCTTAATGTATTTATTACTGTAAACCATCTCCCCCATGAAATTTTTGCACCATCTGGTGGTATCACTGAATCCCTTTTATGTTCCCTACTACCAGCAGCCTCTGAAAAAAACTCAAATACCAAAGAAAGTTTGCTTACTTGTTATCTATGATTTCAAATGAATCTGAAATAATTGTGGAGGAAGAAGGAATTGTTATCTATTTCTGCTATTTTTCTTGCTTCAAGGAAATACCTTTGATTATTTCTATAGCACCTCATTTCTTTGGAATGCATCTCAAGAATAACACGTGTTCTTAAAGCACACACTCATTTTCTTTGTAGGTGAAAGTACTGAGCTGTAAAAGGTGAACCATATATACTGCATATTGAGAGACAGTGCCTTTCATCTATAACAAGTTTATTTTTTGGAAAACTGACAACAAGCCATGGCTCTGTAGTCCCTTAATTCCTACTATTTTCACTGTAATTACAATAAAGTTATTAAGCGAATGTCTGGACAGCTTTTATTTCTATTTACATAAAGCATGAAATTCACACATTCATAATCTGAAAAAAAAACTTCCAATAAAACACAACAGCTGTTGGGATTTAAAACACATTTAAAAAGTAAGTTTAAAGCAATAGGAATTTCAGGAAAAGGCGAATTGTTTGATGACTACACACTCATCATTCGAGGTGCAATACTCATTGACATCAGTTCTTGGAAAAGTAGTTTGCAGGCATATGGCATCCTCACCAGAGAAATCTGAAAAAAATGAGATTAACCATGTTAGCAAAAACATTTCAGAAAACATTCTATATCTTTACTTTTAAAAACCCCCACATATGGGGTTAGGGAGCTCAGAAGAGCACACCATGAAATTATTTTTAAAAGGCTTCAAAGGCTGTGAAAGTAACAGTGATAAAAACATCTTGGGAACAAGTTGGGAAATGTGAGAAAATTTAGAAAGGCACTCTCAGTACTGGCCAAGCTTCACTGGAGAGGTGTGATGGAATATGTACCTGGAGGAGCAATGCAGGAAGAGTTTGGCAACACAGAACTTTCCCAGAGAGAAGCACGGATTAAGACACTGCACAAGTAGAAAGGGAGGGGGAGGAGTTCAGGGTAGCCACACTGCAGAATCTCTCAGGATATAACTAGTATGTTAGTAGGTTGTAGATTGTTTGGCAAGGTTCTGTCTATCAACTGTAAGCAAATAGGAGACTGAACTTGATTGCATTTCATTGTGTCCTCTCTGGGCCTGGGCCTGATAAAAAACCTATGTACAGCATGCTGCAGACAAGAAAGCCAATTTCTTCAATGTCAACTCCCTCCTAACCTGGACGAGGAAGGATTTAAAGATGATGTAACCATTGAGTATTAGGAGTTCCAGGATATTGAAGTGTACATTAAAGGGGCCCTTGACCTCCAGCCAACCGTTGTTTGGAATCTGAGTCCTCTTTCTCCCACATACACACAGAGACACACAACCCTATTTACAGTATGTCAATATGAAATGAAGTAGAACTTGTCATCATCATAATTTAAGTATTAAAAACATACTTTAAAAGCAAAGATTATTACGGCCAGAAAAATAAAATGACGTTTTGTAATATTGTAAGAGAACAGCATTTTCAGCATTTTAAAATTCAGTGGCATTCTTTCAGAAATTTTCATAACTCTTCTGAATGGATGGGAGAGTTTTATGCTCCCCTTCTTGCAGCTAGTGACTCTGATTATATTGTATTCATGGTAGATAACAGCGTAGACAAGTATTGGAAAAAGTGCCTCAAGGTGAGATGAAGATAAAAGTTAAAAAGAATGAGAGAAGAATGAAATGGAATGGGCAGCATTTTCCTACCCTCTTTTACATACCTGTGTCTTATTACGACAACCCCTGCATTCATAGGTGTGGGTCCGGGTGTTTGCTATTGCCATTAGCCCGCACAAGTTGCATACATGAACCTGATATGGATCTGAGGCTTCAAACAATCTTTCCCTTAGGAACTGCGCTGCTCCATGAGCAATCTGACAGTCTCGTTCCATCTCTCCAAATCGAAGACCTCCATCGCTGTGGGGAGAAAAAAATCAAGTTCACTTTCTTATTTTTCCAAGTTAGAAAAACTACCCAATTAATGTAAGAAGCTATTAGAGGAGAAGCCAGCTCATGTACCAAAAATGCTCCTAATGAAATGAAGTCTTAAAAAACAAAACATACCAGAAGTTCCAAAGAAGTGCTACATATACACATTGTCAATACAAGACCGGCTAAGGAAAATATTTTTTAAAAAAAGACAATATATTTCTCGACAATATATTTTAACACTCCCATCTGGGCTCCTGGCATTTCTGGTCTTATTATTTTTCTAGCCCTCATAGTTGCAAATAACATCACTAAAAGCTATGAAAAGGCTTAGGGAAATCTCAGAAACTAGTGGCATTTTCTAGTAAGACTTCTAAGGACTGTGGCTTCAATACTTTGCTGAAGTAAAGACAAATTGGAAAGCATAATAAGCAGGCATCTATTTCTTACCGAGATCGACCCTCCATAGGTTGCCTGTTAAGGATCTGAATAGGTCCTCTTGCCCTGGAATGAATTTTATCATCTACCATGTGTTTTAGTCGCTGATAGTAAGTGGGGCCAATAAAGATCTGTGATGTGATTTTGCGACCAGTAAAGCCATTGTACAGAACCTGCAAAAAGTAATTGCTCCTGTTATAATAGCATATCAATGCAGGGAACAGACAGAATGAGACCTGTCACTCATTCATTGTATCAGATTACCTCATTTCCTCTCAGATGATACCCGTAATCAGAGAGCAAGTTTGAAATCTTCTGCACGTTGACTGCATCATTAAAAGGTGTAGCATCACCTATCTCTCCTTTATTTGCTGATACCTGGAAAAGGGAAAGCAAAGACTAGCAATCATTACACTATTCCTCATAATAACTGTCTAAAATGAAACTGGGAAGATTATATTCTAACTCCCATTGAAGTGTAGAGCTCACGGAATCACTTTACTTAAACTGAAGGGCTTCTGCAAGTCAAAAATCAGAAGAATGGGGACTATGTAGTACTTACTCTGACTTCTTTGGAGAAAGAAAAGAGTAAACATAAACTAAACATTAAAAGAATTTTAAATCATATTATGCAAATTTAGAGATTGTGTTTCCCCAGGATCTAGATTAATGCCACGGGCCAGAGAGTTAGCTTTTTAATCTGAAAATAAAATGGCTCCGGATTGCAAGAGATAAAAACTGATTCAACCTTGGCTGGGTATGCTAGAGTAAGAGATGACCCTGGAAGCTCTCAAAGAGAGCATGATGGAGAATATCTCAGTTCCAAGCAGCGAGACTTACCTTTCCTTGAAGGCATTCAATCAAGTGACCAATGGTCATTCGCGAAGGGATAGCATGGGGATTGATAATTATATCAGGAGTGATACCTTCACAGGTAAATGGCATATCCTAAAAATGAAAACAGATCAAAATCATACCGTTTTCTATAGCACCATTTTTTCTTGTTTATAGTTTGCTTAAGCTATAAGTCTTGCTGGATTTTTTTTTGTATGATATAAGTCACAAAATAAACTGTACAACCTCTTTATTCTGTCAGGTATTTGATCAATTATGAATTTTCCACTATACTGTATATACTCATGGATAAGAGTTTAAGTGCCATCATACACTTTTTTAAAAAAAGGAATTCGACTTATCTGCAGATGGGCTCATCACTGAGCAAAGGTAAGTCTTGTTTAATAACCATAATTGAGACTGGCAAATCAGTCCTTAAGCAAATCAGTCTTCAAATCAAAACTCATGACCACAACTTGGTTAAGATTTTACTTCAGTTTACACTTGCTTTATAACATCAGAAGGATATAATCCTAAACAGCCAAGAGCCCAAAGAGAAGGAAAGGTTTCCAGAATTTGACTCTCAAGGAAGCTATTAAAAAGGGCAAATGTTAAATCTGCTTTCCCTTACTCCCCATCCTTTGGATTGCTCATCCCAGCACTGGGATAATTAGCAAGAAAATTGATGTTCGAATTTACTTTCATTGGAGAGGGATTACATGGGAATAAGCAGACAGATGAATGCAATTTCCCAGGAAGCAAAGAAAAGCCCTTAGTGTGAAATTGATTCATGTTTCGTCAACTTCAGGGAGCAGCTGGAAAATCTGCCTTAGCACTTTTCAGGGACATGCTGCACTGGGGAGAAAAGAAAGTCAGGAAGAGAGAGCTTACTTAGGCAATCTCTCTGCTCTGCAAGTGGTGATGGGAGGGAAAAAAATGGGTCAGGCACAGGACAACACATACTGACTTAATGGTAAACACATGACTGAGATACTGCAGGCATTAGTTGCAAAGTTACATGTCTATGGAGATTCTCAGTCATCCAAGTCATGGTTGTCCCAAAGGTGCTTTTTCAAAAGCAACTGGACTTTCTGTTTTTTCTTTGAAGACATTTCGCTTCTCATCCAAGAAGCTTCTTCAGCTCTGACTGGATGGTGGGGAATGGAAGGATTTATACTTCTTGCAGACAGCTGGTCATTTGCATTCTTTTTGCGAGCCATTAAGGCCACCTGGAGGTTTACCTGTGTTGTCAGGGTCACCTGAGTAGTGCAAATGGGTGTGGAGCCTTTTTGGAACTGTTGAAAGGACTGTGTTGTAGCCTGGAGATAGATGATGTCATATCCCTCCCCCTCTGTTGAGAGAGGGCTGTTCAATCTATGTCAACTATGTCAAAATTGAACAGCCCTCTCTCAACAGAGGGGGAGGTATATGGCATCATCTATCTTCAGTTTATAACACAGTCCTTTCAATAGTTCCAAAAAGACTCCACATCCATTTGCACTAGTCAGGTGACCCTGACAACACAGATAAAGCAACTGATATATTCTAAGTAGAGTAAAAACCAAGGCAATATTTCAAATCCAATTAGCTAAGCATGATATCCTCTACATCAAAAACAAAATTGGAGACATTTACCTCTTGCCTGTATTGGATACCACAGGTACCTTTCTGACCATGTCTACTAGCAAATTTATCTCCAATCTGTGGTATTCGGACAGACCGTACCTGGAGAGATAAAATAATAATAATCTATTACACCAACTATTCACAAATGTTGGATTTATTCTTGCCGACACATTTGCATAACTCGTATACTTACTCTTATTTTACAAAACTTGTATCCTTCCTGATTCAAGGTAATCATGACCTGGTCAACAATACCAGTTTCACTAGTTCGTAGAAAAGTGCTGCAATCCCTTTTAGTGTAGCGACGATTGGTGCTCTCCAGTTCGTCTTCGTTCTCAGGCAAAGTTACTGTCTTGCCAATGATGACATCATCTCCTGAGACACGTACGCCAGGTGCAATCAAACCATCATCATCCAGCTTGTCATAGATGGCATGCCTCATCCCTGAAAAAAGAAGAAAACGTTACGTGCTTCCAAATCAGGGCTTCTGCTTGTTCCCCTTTTCCAATAGGATCACATTTCAAAGCTAATACTGTTTTGTGTTTACTCCAGTGCCATTCTGAATTCAGAAAGAAAAATCCATTTCTGCTAGACCTCTTTTTAGACTAATGTTACATATGCATAACTCTGTAGCCATCAGTGACAATGACAGGTAAGGCAGGATCACTCTCTTGTAACCCCTGTGAAATCATATTCTTCTTTGCAAATAGCATAAACATATGAAACCTATGAAATTCTATTATTGTATCTATTGTTTCTGTCTTCACGACGTATTCCTGATCACTGTCTATGTCTTACCCTGGCATGTTTCACGACTAGGTTTCTCAAACACTTCTTCTTGGTCGTATCCTTTTTTGGACTCCTGTTCTTTATAAGAGCGATAGAATACAGATCTAATGGATGAGAGAAGTGACACCATCAGCTCCAAGTCAGACAGCACTCTTTTAGTTCAGGTTGAGACATGATCTAACATTCTTCAGCAGCAGGGCAAAACATGATGACATGCTGACATACATTAGCAAAATATCCACTCGAGTTTCGAAGCCTATGGACTAAAACCACCTTAATCTAAAAGTGTAGCAAAAAGGTAAGTTTCCAACAACAAAAGAAAAGAAAAATACTTGATGACTAACACCTACAGAGAACTATTGAAATCTTTGATACAACAGAATACTGCAAAAAGCATACCCAGAATGCTTCAAAGCTAGTGGCCTATTTCTTATAAGCATGTGAAATAGTTCTTTAATAGGGAAATAGAAATGTGGCAAGATGTGAAATATTTAACAAGCCAAACCTGAAAAACCCTCTGTCAACAGCAGAGCGGTTCATGATAACAGAGTCTTCTTGATTATATCCTGTATATGAAGCTATGGCGACTATAGAGTTGATGCCTGTAAAAGATTCAAGAACACACTTCAATTATACCCATATTATTTTCATTTTACAGATTGAGTATTAATGCCAAATGAACTCTAATTTCTCAGTAATTATGTGTTTTCTACAGAATGATGGGTTGAGCTTATAAACACACCCAGTGAGCTCCTATGTTGTTATGCCTGGTGTTATCAACAGAAGATAGGATTTCTCAGGAGCAGGTGTGGAATTTGCTTAAAATTTCACATGTTCCTTCAACCATGTCCTTGAGAATTGTCTCCAAACCCTGTTAATTTGCTATTCATATTCAAAGACTGGACCATCTTGAGCATAAACATTTCAAGAATTTAAAACTGGCTAATTAGATCATAGTTGAAACTTGTATAAATATTTTATGCTTGTTAAAATTGAAAAACAAACAGTGCAAAATGTAATAAGAATGTGCACACCCAAATACAAGCAATAACTGAGATAGATATGAACAAGAAACAGAAACAGAAAGAATGCAACTAAGGAATACTAATTACAGTTTTGACCATTGCCTTGCTAGAGTTTATGCCAAAAAGTACTATGCTCAGACAAATATATTAAACAAGCAAGGCTAATTTAAGGAGCAAGCTAAGAAATATTTCAAAGTTGTAATGCTTTTCCTTTGTGATCCAGACACACTGGTGCTAATGCTTTTCAGTGTATTAATGAAACCTAATTGAATAAAAGTATAGGGAAAAGTTATATTCTTAAATGAGGTAAACTTCTCAATACCAGTATTGAGATCCCACAGCTGCCATTGCTAAATCATCAATTAATATTAAATCATCAAATACAAAAAAACAAAAAAAGCCCCACATCTCAGTGAAAATTCATTATTGGTATTCCGGAAATGAATAGTTACAGTAACTTAAAAAAAAGGCACTTTGGCATATCTCTTTAAGAAGTGGATTGTTTCTCTAAAGGTTGAGGTTTTATCCCTGCACTAATCAGCAACTTGCAATCATACCTGCTGGCAACTCTCTGAACCTCAAATATTCCATAGACCGTGTGGTCACAAGGGGCTTCTGAGGATAATATAACACATGGGCCAGTGTATCCATACGGACATGGAAATTAGTGATATAAACTCCCATGGCTTGTTTTCCCATAGCAGATTGGTATGTATTCCTAGGAGACTATTAAGAAAGGAGAAAATGTGTTAGGAATGGGAAAAAACCTTCGAAATTAATGCATAATATTATTCCATCAAGTCATAAACTCTTAATTTAAAATATTATAAAATAAAGTCCAACAAACCTGATTGTGATCTGGAAATGGAATAATAGACGCACAAACTCCTAGAATCATGGAGGGGTGAATCTCACAGTGTGTATATGTGGAACAATATGCCACACCTTTCTCCTGCAAATCATCTGGAGTCATTGCCAGCATAACAGTCTCCTCTTCTAGAGTGTCAATGTATTCTACTACACCACTGGCCACCAAATCCTGCCAGCTAAACAAAATGAATTTTAATTAATGCAACTACATAGAGTTCTAAGAACAAACTTGAAAATTTATATCTGAGTTCCAAGAAAATATGTATCATTCAGTGTAATGAAAAACTAAAAGTATAAGCATGCACATATTACCCATAATTTTGCCCCTTCAGGTACAATAGGCATTTGCTCCATTCCTTCATTAGTTTATGGTTTTGTTTTGTTTTTGCTTAATGCATATACTGCAGAAACCAATGTCTTGATTCCTTAGAATTTCTAAACTTGCCGTCTTAGCCATCTAACCGACTAAAATTAAAGTGTACTGAATATTGTCCACACTCAACTCTGAACATAAGAATCTGTGATGAACCCATTGATCTAGCTGGCTGTCAAAAGATGGTGGCAAAAGGAAATCTCTAATGCAGGGGGGTCAAACTTGATTTCATTGAGGGCCGCATCAGGGTTGGATTTGACTTTGGGGGGGGCGTGGCCAGCTCGATATCACTCATGTCGGGGGCACCTATGGTGGCCAAGTGCTAAGGCAGGACTTCCCTCAGACCTTCCCTCCCTCTCATTATAATCTCCTTCTCTCCTTTCTGCCTTCCTTCCTTTCCCTTTTTCTTCTTTTTCCTTCCCTCTTCATTCTCTTTTCTTCTTCCTTCCCCTCCTTCCTTCTTTTTCCTTCCTTGCTCTCTTCCCATCTTTTCTTCTTTTTCTCTGTCTTTCCTCTTTCCCCTTTCCTGTCCCTTCTTGGATGCTCAGGGGAAATATTTCTTCCATTTTCACTGGAAGAGGTACCACAGGCCAGGCCGCTGTTTCCAGGGCGGCCACACGGGCTACATCTAAGCACCCAGCGGGCCGAATCTGGCCCACGGATCTTGAGTTTCACACCCCTGTTCTAATACAACCTGGGAAAGAGATAGGAAAGAGAAGTGCTGTAACATTAATAAGTTCACATACCATATATTCCCTGTATTTTGCAGCTTCTATATTTAGCATACAGCAACTCTAGCGATTTCAAAAACGCCTTTGTTGCTTTGGTGAATGAACGGGAATTATAAAGAGGAATGTAAGCAGATATAAAAAGAACTACTTTTCGCAAGATCAGCAAATAGCTACTCTCTACCACCTTGATGGCGAACCTATGGCACGTGTGCCACAGGTGGCACGTGTAGCCATATCAGTGGGCACACCAGCTGAGTTCTGGCGTGTATGTGTGTGCCGGACAGCTGATTTTTGGGCCTTCTGGGCCCACCAGAAGAAGGAAAACAAGCTGTTTCCTGCCTCCGGAGGGCCTGGGGGGTGGGTGGGGAAGCCTGTTTTTCTTTCTTACCTGGCTCCAGATCCTCTCTGTGCATCTGTGGAGGGCGAAAACAGCCTTTCCCACTCCCTCGGAGGCCCTCCGGAGGCCTGAAAGGGCCCATTTCCCAACTCCCGGTGGGACAGGAGGTGACGTATTTTGCTGTCCCCAGCCTCCAGAGCCTCTCTAGGAGCCTCCGGAGGGCCTCCGAGGGAGTGGGACTGTTTTCGCCCTTCCCAGATGCATAGAGAGGATCTGGAGCCAGGTAAGAAAGAAAAATGGGCCTACCAGGCCATCACGTGTCAGGAGCGGGGGCAGGGAAGGGGAGGTTGCGCGTGCATGCCCAGGACAGGGCGCATAGAATTATGGGTGTGGGCACAAATGCGCACGAACCTCCCTCACCCCCCCCCCTCCTGGCACACAATGGCAAAAAGGTTAGCCATCACTGCTCTACCGCATCCACTCTCCAAAATGATGGCAGGACTTGTTCCTAGTAGCACTTGACTTGTACTAGCAAAGTCAAATCACTCTTGAAAATGCCCAGCAAGTGTTTCAGACAAAACTTTTCTCATTCCTAAATCTGTACTCAGGAGGAAAGACTTTATTCACTTCTCGTATGAGTTGGACCTTAGTTTAAATCATCAATAACATAAACATTCTTTTCAATTTCTGCTCATTTCCACATAACATTTTAGCAGACACAATTATCTGCAGAGCTGAACTTGCTTGGTTATGCGCTTTCTTTAGCTAATGATCCTTCCAATTAATGCCTGGAATTTTCTCTTCTCTTCCCATTTAAAGCATCTTTGAGGAAAGACAAGTACTAAATCCCACAAGAGGAGAACATTTGAGGATAACCCTACCTGTAGTTGTTATATTCACGTTCTTTCAATTGGTCAATATGCCTCTTCTTCAGTAACAATTTTTGTTTTTCCACAATTAGAAGTGGACGGCAGATCCTACCAGCATCAGTATAAATGCGAATTTCTCGTTCCCTGATATCTCTGATCATGGACACCTGCATGAGAAGACACAGTTCTCATAAACACTGACAGACAGATCAAAATATCGAAACACCATGTTTTCAGATGCCCCCCCCCCCCCCCGAGATTTTGCAAGTTGTGAAAATGGTGCTCTTCAGGCAAGCTTTTGTAGCTTAATGGCGATTAACCAATCCTGATGTCAGATAAAAGCAACTGAGTATCTGAAGAGTCAAGATTAACATTCTGAACTACACATGGCCTTCAGAGAGATTATCACTCTGTTTTAATTCATCAAAATTATATAGAATTTAAATTAAATCACAAATCTTTTTTCTAGATCAACTTATTTTATTTATTTTATTTTTTGGTCTAGGTTAGCACCTTTATAGGTCAGTTGGAATTACAACAAAACTTACCTCTGATACAATGATGTCCATTTGCCGTCGCAGTTTTCTCAGTGTATTCATAAGTTGCTCTGGATCTTTGTGAATTCCAACCCAGCAACCATTCACAAATATTTTTGTGGCGCTTTTGGAAAAAAGGGAAACAGTTAAGCTGCTGATTTAGAGTGAACCTTATAGAAGCTAATGGAATTACATTATACTTGGTTCTTACTCTGCAATTGCTGCTGGGGAGATTTCTTCCAGGTTTTCCATACTCCATTCTTCTAAAAATTCCAGAATTGGGGATGGCTGAGATCCCACAGAAATATAGGCCATCAGAGCAAGGTTCTTCACAAGTCCCACAGCATGACCCTAAGAACAAACACAGGCTAAATTTTCAATCTTAACAAGCTCTATTATGCATAGACGTTCTGGCAGTTTTTGAAATTATAATAACATTTAAGAATCAAGACTGTTATATGAGAATGGATCCTGAGGCACATTTGGTGGAAGGCAAAACCTGTGAAACCCTTTTTTAAGATTTTGTGGAGCACCTTGTAATAATTGCCCTGAATTTTGGCAATTGGTTTGTTAAAACATTCCTGCTATTCCAAGATACTGTAGAAACAATAAGGAAATGTGTGGCAAAAGCACTAGAACAAACCTAATACTTTAAAAAAAAAATCCTGCAGGATTCTCCCAGAAACGGGAGAAAAGGAATATCCTAGCCTAAGAAAATATATTAATACCACGCTCATTGCAGCTCTTCCATAAATGTTCCTTGTGGCCAACAGAAATGTGCTTGCCGCTGTTCACAGATAACTCTGTTCACAAATCCTTCATGTTAACTTACTGCAGCGGTTCTCAACCTGGGGGTCGCGACCCCTTTGGGGGTCGAACGGCCATTTCCCAGGGGTCGCCAAAGCCCTCTCTCGCCGCCCCCCCACGCCTTCACTCACCCTCACCCTCTGCCGGATCACCGTTCATTTACTCCGCCCACTCCCAATCTATTGCTGCCTCCGGGGTCCCAGCTGATGGCTAGAGGGGAAAAAAACTTTAAATTCTTGCCGCAGGGCTTCAAAGAGCCGCCCTACTCTCAGCTGTTTTGCGGAGGGCTCTGTTGCTAGCTAGCTGCAAAGAGGTAAATTCCTGGAGCAGATTTTTTCCCCCCTAGCTATGCTGAGAAAGGGAAATTGAAAGTAAGCAGGATCTTGGCTGCAACGTGACAAAATGAGGCAGAGAGATTTCTTTTTCCTCACCAAAAAAGGTAGGTGCAAACTGCAAACAATGGGAAATTTAGGGCAAGAGGAGGTTCAAGATTTTAAAACACAGAAGAAAAAAAGCTCTATTTAACTAGGGAATTGTAATAATTGAGATACTATTAATTGTATATTGTGTTGAAAGCAGAAATGGTTAAGTTGTGGTTTGGAGGAATATATGGGGGAAATTATTTGGTTTATTATTATTGGTAAATATAATTAATTGATTTGTAAGAAATTGGATTGCATGGAAATAATTGGAATATTCATGTTCATATTGATTAATATACAAAAAAGGTAGCTATATAACTAATTGATTTATATTAAAATGTTGAATTTGTATTAAACAACTGTATTACATAATTAACCAATGTGAGGATGGATATAAAAATAGATGACAATGGGAAGGGGTATAATATAGAATAGAAGGGAAAAATTGAATTTGATTAAGATTAAGAGATGAGGATGAAGGGTAATATTGGTTTTTTAAAAAATAGATGAGGAATAAATATGGTAAAAAGGAAATATAAAAATTGTAAATTTAATTGAAATGACTAAATACTGTGTTGGAAGAAATATCCTTCTGGGTTCTGCTCCAAGTGGGGAAAAAGACACTGGAAACATGGAGACTGCTTGGAAAGATGGTTTAATGGTGGACAGGATCACATGGCTTGATGGGGCCCATTGTGTTAGTTTCTGTTGCTATTGTGTTGCAAATGTCCTTTGACAAAGGATTGAGTTTCTGCCTCTGGCCCATTAACAAAGGGTGGGGGGCAGGAAGGTGGGAGTTGCTTTGTCTGTAAAATATGCTTCTCCATTTCTCATCCAGGTAGGGAAATATAATATTCTGCCTTTTTAATATTTCCCAAAATATTTCATTCTTCTAGGAAAGGGGTGGATGCTAACCTCCTACAACTGTTTAAATTTGTGAACCGGCCAAATACTCTGTTCAAAGAAAATACGTTGTATGTTTGTATGTGTGTTTCTAATTATTGCTATTTATTGCTATTTGTTCTCTTTTATTCTTTAAAGTTTAACAATTCATTCTTTATCTTAATATCTTAATATTTGTTTGGGGTTGGCTTTCTTCCCTTTCATCTTTTTTATTGTACAGCAATCTTTCTCCTCAAACCTACCACCTCTCTCTTTTCTTTTCTTCTTACTTTCTCTTCCTCCCCTTCTTCTTCTCCTCCCTACTTCCTCTTCCTTTCTCCTTCTCCTCCTCTCTTCCTCCCTCTCTTACCCTCACTCCTACTCTAATTTCCCTTCCCTTCCTTCATCCCTCAAAGGGCTGAAAAAGTTATTTTTGACTGGTCCTCGCACTTTTGACCAGTCCTCGAATTTACGACTGTCCTCACATTTTATGTTTTTTGCCCTATCTTATACCATGTTGAAGAGAAGCAGTTGTGAAATGAGTGACATGGTTGTTAAGAATGCTGCACGGGCATAAATGTGAGGATGGTCATAAGTGTGAGGACCAGTCAAAAGTACGAGGACCTGTCAGAAATGACTTTTTTCAGCCCTCTGAGTAGTCCCTATACATATAGCCATGGCCACCCGAGTCACATGACCAGCTAGCCACGCCCACCCAGTCACATGACCTCCAAGCCACACCCACAAAATAAGCCATGCCCACAGAACCGGTAGTAAAAAAATTTAGAACCCACCCCTGGTTGGGGGTCACCACAACATGAGGAACTGTATTAAAGGGTCGCGGCATTAGGAAGGTTGAGAACCACTGACTTACTGGGTTTCATTACCAACCAATTTTAACTTGAGAAAAGATTTAAAAATCTGAAAAGACACTCTACTAAATACTGCAGAAGAAGATTAGCTTGTCCTATGCAAGCTAAATTATCCTATGCAAAGTAGCCTAATTCACATGGGAAAAACCTTACAGCTCCAATTTTTTAGAAAATCCCATTTACTGATGGTATAGAGGCACTTAAATACAATCTTTGCATTACCTCTGGAGTTTCAGCAGGACAAACCATTCCCCACAAAGTGTTGTGCAACTGTCTGGGCTTTGCTAGTTTACCATCTCTTCCAATAGGCGAGTTTAAGCGTCGCAAATGGGAAAGTGTAGAAGCAAAGGTGAGACGATTCAATACCTGAAGAAATGCAATCAAGGACATTTTTAGGCTTTTCATAACATACAGAACCTAAATCTTGTTGCTATAAGGTCTAAAGGTTATGTTATCAACTATGAGGAATATGTCACTGACAGTTAATCACTGAGAGTGAGCTGGGCAGCCATACAAATTTTCTCAATAAATAAACAATTACAAACGTTTTATTTACAATATTTATCACATATAATTTGAGCACCACATTTTACATTTACTATTAAGCATAGTTTACTTCTGAATTATTAAAGGACCAAAGAATACAATGGGCACTTTTAATGAAGAACAAAATCTAATGATTCTTTCAGGTGGACATTTACTGAAATCCTTTAACAGTGCAATTTTATTTTCTTTTTAAAGGATTTATTCTCTGAACACTCTAATTCCTCAGCTAAATTTAATTTTCCTCACCCAGACAAGATTCATTCTATAATTCTTTTATAGCTGTAGCAAATTTCTTGGGCACCCCTAAAAGAATCACAACAAATCAGAGAGCCTCAGCCATTATCTGCAATGTGAAAGATGGGGAAATCTAAAAGTTTGAATTTTAAAGAAGTTTCTTCCCTATGGATTAAAATATCATTTATTCCTCCCACCCATGCACTAAATATCTGCAATAACAAAAGAAATTATTTTATGTACTAAGCGGGAAGGAAGAGGCACAAGGAAGATATGCAGTGTAACTGTACTAAGAAAATTTTGGATAAAAGATCCATTTGGAAACAAATAATCTAATGCCAAAGAATTAGGACTGCTGCTGGTTGATGAAGAGGGTGGCTCCAGGTTAAGATACTGACAAGAGAAGCTAAGGTAGAAGGAACAAAATGAAGGATGGGCAGAAAATGGGGCAAACAAGGCTAGTAAAGAACTATTTATTTAGGAAAGAACAATAAGGAAAATAAAATGAGCATTCTTATATTTCAGCCAACCCACTGAGGTAGAATTGCTGTCATTCTCTAAAAAGAATTAAGGTGATATAGCCATGTCTTTGCTGAGCTGATAACTTTAAAGAACCTACATTTGAATGGCAGGGATATCTAAAATAAAACACTCTTACACTTTTGCACAACAGACAATACACTTACTTGTGACACTCCAGCTCTAGCCTGGTGAGCTTTCTTCTGATCTCCCCAGTTGCCAGTTGCTAATGAATATTTCAAACCATCCGATATAATCCTTGTTTTAATTGCCAACTCCAAGTTAAAATCTTTGCCTCTGTCAATAAATTTCTGGGCATATATTCTAACTTCTTTCAGCAAATTCTTAAACATTCTGTTTAGGGAAACAGAAACATTGAATAACAATAAGTACAATTTTGCATATTTCCCCATAATCTTCCACATGCAATACTAAACCAAAAGGTCTCTATTTGCAAAAGATTAGCCACAGTTGAAACCAGATTGCAGTGGGACTAGCACTCTCAGAATGAATATCAGATGAATAATCTTTTCAACAATGCCAGAGCATTTAAATCACTCAGATACTATGAATCTGATTATCTTGACATTGTACAATGAAGCATTTGAAAAAAAAAATCTGTACAACAGTTGTGTTTCAGAGAAAAATATTAAAACACCAGACTGAGGAGCAAAATCTTTCATGCCTTCCACTATTTTCTGTCTCCTTGATTACCTAAGCGCTATTTATAAAGAAGAGTTGAGAACTGTTTCAAATAGTCTAGAAGAGCAATGTGTTTCAGTAATCATGATAATGTCAATTCTTCTGATAGTTAATGCAAAATTAAAGGGTCTCAACATGAAGATTTTATTGGATATAAAGTCAACAATCCTAGAAATGTACATTATTCTATTCTTCCAGGATAAGCAATATTTTGCAAAGAAGGGAACAAAGATTAGAAAGCAAAAACACTAAAGGCAAGAGATAAAGGAAAGGGAAAATTAATGTTAGTTTACAAATACACTATTAATTATAGCTTTCTATACCATTCTATCCTTGCAAACCAGCTTTGCTTCCATGCACCATCAATATATTGCCTTTTATCCTCTAAACCTGACATTTTTCTCTCTTTGTGGGCCTCATTAATTAACCATAATATTATATTCCCAGTCTTTTCTGTCCTCTTGATCCATTCATTCTTCCTTCATATATTTATCTCACAATTTGATTTTCTAGGATCAAACCAACTCAATGTATTTCTTTTGCACTGCTTTCATAAGTCACTTTTAAAAAAATTCAATCCACATTCAACCATCACCCATCTCTTATCCACAGATTACCCTGCAGGCCATCATATTCTATAGAGAAGTAAATATGTGTATTTTTACACATAACTTTTCAAAAAGGTGCAGTGTACTTACCCAATATAAAGTAATAATGACCCTCTGAAGTACTCACCCTCTGAAGAGGAAAGCAAGCAATGGTCCTGCCAGGTCAAGCCGCTTGTTGCCATAGTGATCCCTATCGTCTAGTTCCCGTCTCCCTAAAGCTGCTAGCAACAATCTATGAACCATGTACCTGAGAAACAGTGATTGACATAGATTACAGGAAGGTAGAAGTTCAGGTTTCTGGATTGTGTACATAATACAAGTCAGCAATTTACTCCTAAGAAAGGAATCTGCCCAATCTATCATCTATTCAGAAAATCAAATTGTTATCCCAAATATCTCACTCCATGTTATTTAAATTTGCTGCCAACGGTTTTCAAGCTGTAATGAGAGAATTTCAATTTTGTTTTTTTTATTACAACTCTTATCTAAATATGATTCATTTCTGGAGGATAACTGTAGCCTTTGATATTACTTCTTATACAAGTCCACAGCTAGTTCAACTCCCTTGAAATTATGCAGGATGAACAATTTATTTATTTATTTATTTTATGTATTTATATGCCGCCATTCTCCCGAAGGACTCAGGGCGGCGAACACAAGTTAAGAAACAAGTTCAATAAAATCATAATTTAATCCAAATAATTAACAATTCAACAGAACCAAGTCACTCTCCATTTTTTTAAAGCTCTTTCCACACAACGTTCCTGCTAAGATATCTCTTGTTGTTCTCACATTTGGAAATTGCTTACTATTTTATATTACATATCAATTAATTATACTGAGCCTCACTGCTTTCTAGGCAATCCCTTCGATATGCTGCTTAAAATCATGAAGGACCAGGAATTTTGTAGATAAAAAAACCAAGATTATCTGTACAGTATTTGAGGAACCTTTAATTTATCTTATAAAATATTGTAAATAGATCAGTTTTCCTTTCCAAAATATTAATGAAGCACCAATAAGCTATTAAATAATAAACTATAATAAATAAATGGAATAAACAGGAATGCTGGTACTCAGGTCCTTCCAATACCACAGGCATTCAGAAACTTTCCACTGTACCTTCGGTCACCTGCACTTAAATAAATTATAAATAATAAACTAATAAAACACTGGTCCCAGTGACCGATCCAAATTCGATTTCGCATCATTATCCTGGGGCATGTACATTTGCCTTCATTCGTAAAAAACACTAGTTGAGTTTAAAACAGCATTTCACTGCATCACACTGAGCCAGTAAATGAACTTTACAAATGTACTGGATCATAAATAAATATATTTTAAAATACTCACTCCCAAAGCAGCACCACTTTCCCCCCCAACAGGCCTCTGACTTCATATTGCAAATATAAATCTCCCCTACCTGGAGTATTTTATCCATGTTGATTTCAACTGCCATAATCCCCATCCAATATGAGCACATAAACATTTACATGAATAGTATTCTTTATCACTACATACCCAAGAAAATAAGCCTTTTTAGTTTCACAGAAGTCACTGACACCAACATGTGGAAGCATCTCTTTCTGTAAGACTTCTTTGGCGTATTTGATTCTCTTCTCTTTAGTGACACCGGGCTTTGCACCTCTTGAACCAATGAAATTCAATGCAACGTTCTGTTCCTGAATGACAAATGCTTCATCCAAAGAGGGCTTAACCTATTGCACACATAAAAAGAAAATGAGATTTACCTTCTATAAGGAACTTCTTGGCACTTAGAAATACATTAAATGAAAATGCACAAAAATAATCAAGAGTCAACAACTTCTAGCATGTTTCCTGCAGAATTTATTTAGTGTTCATTCTTATGAAACAAAAGTTTATCGATGGTCACAAATAAGGATAGTATTATGTAATCTCTAGGTTTTTAAAGCAAAATTAGGAAATTAGAGTTCAAGGTACTTTATAGTAAACTGAAGTACCTTTCTGATCACAAGAACTGAACAAGTAAGAGCTAATTCTACCTCTTCTACTAGAAAGTAGGGATTTTGATTTCTTCCTGTTCCATAAAGCAAACCTCCTTTCTTTAATAGCTTGTGCTGACTTCAGCTCAATGTGATTTGGCTCATCCCTTAAATTTCATCCTAAAACACTGTAACTGGTAAAGGATGCATAGGACAGTGAAGAAACTCTCTTTCTGTCCTAAAGTAAGAGTGTAGGGTCCATCTTCCTATTACCAAAAAGATACTTTGGAGTAAATTCAACTACTATTCTTGGAGGTGAAGCTAACAGGTAAGAGCTATATAGCCTCTTTGTGACCATGTGTGAACAAAGTTGGTGTCTGAAGAGGATCTACAGTATATACTGTAGTTTATCGTCTTTATAAACATAGGTGACTTTATCCCAGAGCTGCCATGCAAGTGTCTCTTGAGGCCAGTCACATGATGCTACTCAAGCAAGAAAGAGGCAATATCATGCTGGCTGTGAATGCCAGGCAATGCGTTCTCTCACTCTATTTTTTATATTAGAACATGAAACTCATCTCCTCTGATTTCCTGTTTCTATGAGGAAGTCAAGATTGTCTAATGAATGAACTCCTAACATTTTGCACACCAAGCTTCAGCCATACAATCCCTATGATGGAATAGGCTGTGTTAAATTAAATCATAGTTCTATCTGATTTTCTGCCATCCTGCATGCCCATTCTGGCATCAATGGACCTTATTCTACAAACTGGCCAATCATGCTTTATTAGTGCTCCTTCTCACTAATATGATGTTATTTCAGACTTCTGGACTGCTGATGCCCTGTATCTTGTCTGCCAAAGGTGCAGGGGGAGCATCTCTGAATAATTACAACACTGCTTGCCTCCTTTAAGTTCCCACACCTCTGGAGGTCTGACAAGACACTTCCACTAACTGACCAACTTCCAACTCTTAGGCCACTCTGTTATTTGGCCATGGCATCCTCTTGGTGCATGATTCTATACATGCCTTGACAACATGGCAGTGAAAGCACTGATGGTCTGCTTCTCTCTTCTTTACTACCATCCTTTTATTCTCCAAATCACAGTTGATTCCTTCCTCTAGAAATTACATGCAGTTCAATTTGCTTTGGAGTTTAATAATGTGAGAAAAATGTATCTAACAATATACATTAATCTAATTTAGCAATTAATATATATAAATGTACTTTACCATTTCCATCATCTCAGGATCTTCAAAGTCATAAATTATATGCTCCAAGATGTCTCTGTCAGATACAAACCCTAATGCACGGAACACAATAATGATGGGCACTTCCTGCTTGATATATGGCAAAGTTGCCACAATACGTTGACCTATCGCACTCTTCTTTGCACCCTAAAGTTAGAACAAATGCAACATCTACGCCATCAAACTGTATTTAGGCACTTTTTGATGATTTTCAGATACACTGCAATTTTTAAAAAATCATTTGGATCTCTTCTCAACTTTCTCCCTTACACACACACAGCCAAATCCCTTGGACCTATGAACTCAAGTTGAGCAGAAAAAAAAGCATCTCCATAGCTGACAGTTTCAGAGATCATTATCAGATCCAGCAAGACAAGAATAGTCAGGTTCCTGCCATCCAGGTCACCACAAGTATCCACAAGAGTGACCAATGCAGTTTTTGTCCATTCCCAAGTCAAAGATATACTGTAGATGACTCTCATACACAATTCAGAAATTGTTGTAACTTTCCCCATTTGAGAGCTCTAAGAATCAAATGGGCTTAAGGCACCCCATTTTCTTAACTCCCCGCTCCTCCCCAAAAAACCCAGACAAAATAGTCCCTGGAAAGTGGGGACAGACTGGGAAATCCAACAGGATTTCTAACTGACTGGATTTCAACCATGGCCTGCATTTTTCATTCCTGCAATTTAGACTGGCAAGATAAAAGAATGAAATGAATCCTATGTCCTGTCAAATCAAGGCAAGCACAATATAGATGGGGGGGAGGGGTCAGAAGGAAGATGACTCTATTCATTTATCAATCCCTAGTTTTTTAAAGTTATGAATTGAAAATTATGAATTGCAAATGCTCACCTGCCCACCTCTGGCCAACATGCTAACCCATATAGTACTTGTTGGTCGAGAGGAGTTCTCCAGGCAAGAACGGCACTCTCCTGTGTATGCATATTTAGAATCTTTCTTTGCAAACACATATACTGTGTTTGTAGCCATTTTCTCTTGAGCAATCAGAACCTGTTTGCAGAATATAAACAAGCATTTAAAAACCCTGTTTAATAGCTAAACATTTTACTGTTAAAACAGTCTTTTGAAATGCTACAAACTATAATCATACAGAGTTGCTGGAAGTCATGATATACATAATTATAATTATTTATAATATTTATATTATTTTCACTTCTTTAAAAAAAACAGAACAGGCATGGTACAAAGAATTCTATGTTCCAACCTCCACTAAAAAACAACAACAAGCAATCTATTTTGTTTCAACCAAACCCGTGTGTTGATTGTATTTGTTAAATAACTAAAAAACTCACACCTTCTTCACATATTTTGTAATCTTTAAATACCCAGGATATAATTTAATACAGAAAACCAGATGGTTAATCAAAAAACACTATAGGACTCTTTTTAAACAATCTCTTTGAAGGAAAAAACCCTCTAAATTTAAATGTAAAGATGAATGTTCAAAAGGGACTGAAGCTATGATACAGCAAGCAGATAAAAGATTCTTATTCATGGTTCTTTCCTCAATATATCTAAACCTTACCTTTTCTGATCCATTAATAATAAAATAGCCCCCAGGATCAAGAGGGCATTCATTCAGTTCACAAAGATCACGATCAGTCAAACCGTTTAATAGGCAGTACGTGGATCGCAGCATGATTGGAATTTTTCCTATGAATGTTTTTTGATGTTGTGTCTGTAATTGGTCTTCTCCTTCCTTAATAACTGTCTTGGTTATGTCCACATACAGTGGTGCAGAATACCTTTGGAAGAAAGTTTACAGTATGTTTTATCTTCTCAAATCATTTAATACCAATATAATCAAGATTATTTTGAACCACTTCAAATAATTATACAACCCTTGTTTGTACAATAAATAATAAAAGTAGATAGCTCTTACGTAAGATTTCTGAGTCTGGCTTCATTTGGCATCATAGGTGAAGGGGCACCATCTCTTTCCCAATGAGTAGGCTTGGACAGATAAATTTGTTCAAATTTCAAAAGATAACGTGGCTGAAAATAATATAAGCATGGCATCAATTAGGCATCCAGTGGCACCTTTATCAAATATATGAAGTGAGAAGCAGCTATGCAAACATTTTGATGAGGATCAAGAAACTGAAGGTGAATCTTGACCAAAAAGGAACATGACAGAGAGCCAATTACATTGTCTGCGAATTTGGAAGATTATATCATATACTTTGGATGTAGGAATGGATATATAACTGGAAGTTACTCCTTAAACCCTTACTACTGATAGAGTAACAAGCAACCTCTGTAGCAAGAAGTACCTTTTCATAGCCTGGGTTGGTCTGTTTTCTGTAGCAATAATCTGGTTGCAATAATACATGCACTGACAATCTTAAACTGGACCACCATAATGCTCCTGCTCATGGGTTACCTATGAAGTTGGCCTTGCAACTACAACTAGTATAATATGTTACAGCTATATTGTCAAGTTGGACAGTCTAACAATAACATATTACATCTGGTTTTCTAATATACACATTTCATTAAAGTTTAAAAGGAAAATAATTAACATAAACAAAAGAAACCAAAGAGAAAACTAAAAGTGAAATCAGAAATTGCCTTTTAGAAAAAGAAGCAGCTGATCCACCATGCTATCTTCCTATACAGGGGCTGCCTCATGCCATTCTAGAAGCAGGAGCCATTTGGGGAACAATCACAATTCTTGGATTGTGAGAACTGTAGTTGTTTCCAAAATGGTGCCTGCTTCTGGGATGGCACCACACAGCTTCTATATAGGAAGTCTGCACTACACATCAGCTGCTACTCCTTGGGAAAGGTGATCTTCAGAAGAAGTGGAATGAGGCATGATGGAGTGGGAGAAACCCAAGGGTGTGGGACCCAGTGGTGCAAAAAGCAGGCCCAAGGCCTGTGGGAGACCCAGCTGGGTGAGAACCAGGCCGAAGGGACCCAGGAAGGCAGGATGAGGGAGGGATAGGTAGGTAGGGGCAGCTATAGTGTCCCTGCAGTTGGTTGTAAGGGCAAGCGGATTGCCAAGCACCTGAATTTTTGTCATGATTGTGGGGACGCTGCAGCGCCCATAACTTTGGGTACAGGTCATAAATCCCTGTGTTTAGCAGTCATAATTTCAAATGACTGCTGAATGAATGGCCATAAGTAGAGGACTATGTATAGAAGCTATTCTTGTTTACTTATAATTTACCACCCAGATTTTTTTGTATGAGAGGCAGTATGTATGTGTGTGGATATGCGTGGATTTGTGGTGCAAGATTTCTTTGCTAGTTTGCAACTAATATGCTACAATCCCCTTCAGAGGTTTTTTTCCTGAAGTGAAATAACAAGGCAGAATATTTTAAATAAATGTTAATACCCTGCGTAGCATACTGCGCACTGAGATTAAAAAACAAAAACAAAATGCAGACATATACTTCCTTATTCAGACCACAGATCCATTCTTCTATGATAAAACTCTCAACTAGCTCTTTTAGGATACACAACAATTGGCTGTTGACAATCACAACTTGTGCTTTACACTATCTTTAAAAACAGAACAGTCTCTTACTGGTTCTTCTACTTCACCGGTAGCATGTTGAGCTTCTGCTTGTAGATCGATTGGTGGGGCATCTTCTACAATTCTTTGCACAGACATCTGAATGAACTCATCAAAAGAATCCAGCTGCTGTCGAACCAGACCTTTTTCATCAAAATAGGAGCTTTGGAAAATATTTTAGAGCCAGTCAGTATTTAGATTCAACCTTTATCATAGCATAGACAATAAAAAAAGAAGTGTTCCCACCTATATGAAATAAAAGAAAAATGCATCTTGCAATCTACAATTTTCATTAGTAGCTGTTTTAAGTTATAACTTACAATCAATAACTCTTTTAAATTTAAAAGTAGTTTCTCCTAAATTTAGTGCAATAACTTTGAGTAAAAATGCATTGTTCTACTGATTTTGGTTGAAAAAAACATGTCCATGTGATTTTCCCTTCTCCCAAAATGTACATGGATTATAAAGAATGTTTTATTCTGGGAATATGGCATATTGTATCTTTTTATATGAAATATTACCTGATGACAATCCAGCATGCTTCTTGCCATAGATCTGGAGTGATTTCATCATCATCCTCATCATATTGCATATCTATTTAAAAAAGGAGGTGGGGAGGTAAAGAACTACAACATCTTTCTAATCCTTTGCAAAGAAAGTATTATTTTTAATGTTAGTAGTTTATTATTTTTTATGTTTACTTCTAAAATCTCCAAATAATAAAGCAGTAACAGCTTTTCAATATCTTGAGCAGAGGTACGGAAACTGAATCTGAGATCTCCTTATAAATTATTTACCTTATATTTAACCACTGAGTTATGAATTTGCTTTTGTATTACATAATTTAATTTCTAATTTAAAAAATCTTTTTTACAGGAGTAAAAAATGTCTGCTACAATTATCTGGGAATAAATTTCATGTAACAATGGGACACATTCAAACCATTGCCTCTGCATTTATTTGCAAAATCAATCATGTCTAATACAGATTTAAAATCCCAGAAAGGCCAAACACTGAAAATAAATGCTGGATTTTGTTTCTGGTCAGATCTGTAGTGACTGGAAAAAAAATAATGCATATATTAACTGATAAACCCCATCCCAATAACCTTTGACATCTGTATCAAATATCTTTTTTCTAGATATTTTTCTTATATTTTGTAAACTGTATGTATTACATATTGGTGAGAGAATTTAAAAAGTTTTAAAAATGAAACCCTACAACCCAGAAGGCACAACTGCACAGAAAATACCACACTGTCATTTAACTGCAGAATGACTGAACTGAAAAAAATTAGATATATTTGGTATTACTATGCATTGAAACAAAGACACTTCGTATACTGGGGTTTAAAGTTGACTTGCTTTCCTGAAATACAATTAAAATATCCAGTTTAAACTTATGCTGAACAGTGGCTCTTATTCAAACGTCCTCACTTATATTACATTACAATTCTAGCAATGGGATCCATTGCACACCCCTTGGACCAATTCTACACTGTCCTCCTCCAACCTTTAAGCACGGAGAAGCAATCAATATCGCCCTGATTTGATTAGAACTTATCATAATAGTTGCAATAATATAATCGAAACCCTTTGGATTCCCCACCATCTTTAACAGTATGGAATGATTAAAAAGCAGCCAGGTTACTAATTAGTAGGTAACTTCGGATGCCACCAGGAAAACCAACAGAACAGTTTTAGGAGCCAGAAATGATATGGAACAAAGCTCCCCAGAGGTGAAGGCTCCCTTCCCCAAGCAGCTGCCTTAATAAGAGACTCACCTTCGTCCGCATCGTACATCTTGGCAAAGGTGCCTCTCGGCCGGTCACGAATACACGCAAGATACTAATCGCCACCGAGGCGGCTCACTTCTGAAACAGAGGCACAGGATTATTATCGCGCTTGCGCAGAGCTCGCGTTTCTCAGCTACTTCCTATCGCTTCAAAACCTCATTTCCTTTCCCATTAGGGCCGTGCAAAGGCTTATGGTCCTTTGGCAAAACATTGGCGCATGCCCAGCCGTATAGCGGGACTTTATGCATTAGCCCCTCTCCTGCTAGTTTTACTGCGCGGAAGGTCTTCCCGTGAATTGTTATTTGAGGATGGGCTGCATAGACGTCCGAACATCCCCCTTTCCCCCCCCTTTTTCTAATATGCACTGTTGTGTGCAGAGATAGCAAGAATCGCGGTAGACAGATTTTCTGGGTTATGGTTTGATGAGGACCGAAATGGTTGGGGGCAATATGCTGACTTTGTAAACCGCTTAGAGAGGGGTGTAAAGCACTATGAACGGTATATAAGACTAAGTACTACTGCTATTTAGGATTTCTCTGTTAAGCGGCGGTAAAAAGCAAAATATTTCATATGCAAATGAATGCTGCCCTGGTTTGGAGGGTGACAGATCAGATAGATTTTCAAAAAGACGGCAACTATTTGGGGTGTTTATTTTTCTCCCTGCCTTCCACAATTGTTTTGTTTTTTTTAACGTTTGTATTACATGTATTTTTATCGTTCGCTGTTCACCGCCCTGAGTCCTTCAGGAATAGGGCGATATATAAATTAAATAAATAAATAAATAAATATACTCTTTAACAGTAATTCACTGCATTTATAGAATTCTAAAAAGATAATAGTCATTCATTAATTTTTTGGGGAAAAAATTAAAGTAGAGCCAAAAATACCTAACGGGGCACACACTCATTGATTCACAGTCTGCTACTGATTTAGGAATAATTTGAATATAGATGGAATTATATATTCCTTCAAGAAGAGCTACCATTTTAATGCTCTTTAAGACATCCAATGTGCTCATTTGCTTAAGAGAAGCAATTCCTGTGGAATGCGGTAGAGTAGGAAAGTTAATGTTATTCTTAAATAAGTGAACAGATTTAGTTTGAATATTCAAAATAAATTTGTTTTCAAGAAATGTTTAAATCTGAATCTGCTGGTCATAGATTTCTGATTCAGTTGTGGGTCAGTAGCTGCAAAAAAGGGTTTTCTACATGTTCCAGTATTGGTTGATTATGTGCCATTAAGTCATTTTCAATCCTAGAAACCACAAAGATAGATTTTCCCCATGACACCTGCCCCTAACCTGTTCTTCCAAGTCTCCCAACAATACACTCATTGCCACTGTAACTGAATCCATTCATCTTGCTGCTTGGTCACTCTCTTCTTGTCTTCCACCTTTCCCAGCATCACAACTAGTGGTGGATTTCAATTTTTTTTACTACCGGTTCTGTGGGCGTGGCATGGCTTGGTGGGCGTGGCAAGGGAAGGATACTGTAAAATCTCCATTCCCACCCCACTCCAGGGAAAGGATACTGTAAAATCTCCATTCCCTCCCCTATCCAGGGGAAGGTTACTGCAAAATCCCCATTTCCTCCCGATCAGCTGGGACTCAGGAGGCAGAGAATAGATGGGGATGGGGCCAGTCAGAGGTGGTATTTACCGGTTCTCCAGAACTAGTCAGAACCTGCTGAAACCCACCTCTGATCACAGCCTTCTTCTATGGAGTTAGGGATAATTTGTGCCTGGTTACTTGTGCTTTGAGTGACAACTCTGGATCGATTTCTTTGATTATATGTTTGTTTTCATAGCTGTCGGTGGTATTGCCAGGAGTTTTCTCCAACACCAAACTTCACAGGTTCGATACTCTTCCAATACTGCTGCTCTAAAGTCCCACTTTCGCTTCCTCTGAGATCCGCAGCGTGGCACTGCTGAAATTATTCAAACCTTTCAAGACAAATCCGGAGCTCTCGTGAATTCTGCTCATTTCTAACCCTTCAAACTGAATCCTGAACTCTGAAATATTTAGAGATGAATCTGGGCTTGAATGTTCGGCCTCGAGGACTCCCTCCCTCCAGGGCGCTTCAGGTTTGAGTCCTGAAGTTCATCAGGAAGGGGAGGAGCCCCAGCCTTTCGCCTGCGCCTGCGCTCTTCCCGCGGAGGTCGAAAGCGGCTGTAGGGCCGTATGGTTGGTGGGACTCCGGGGCTCCCCGTCAGTTCGTTCGTGGGTGGCGATGAACGTCTTCCGGCGGGTTTTTGCTGGGGGCCTTCCTCGGCTTTGGCAGCCGCCCCCACTTTCCGCGCCTGCTTGCGGTAAAAGAATCGGCGCGCTGCTTTGCCGCACCTCGGCGGGCGGCCCCCTTCACTTCCCACTCGGGAAGGAACCCCGTGGACGCTGGGGACGGGCGGCGGTAGCGGTGTCGCCCGAGTTGATGGAGGAGGAGGAGTTCGTCTTCCCCGAATACGTCCCTGAGGAGCTGCCCTCCTCTGAGGAGAAGCGGTTGGTGGAGGCAGCGGTGATGCAGGAGCTGGAGCTGGAGCAGCAACAGCGGCGGCGGCGGGCTGAGAGGGACAAGCAGCCGCAGCAGCGCCGAGAAAGACCCCAGAAGGCAGCACGGACTCACGAAGTGGAGGGGCGGCCGGACGCTTCGGTGAGGTCGAGCGGAGTGAACTGCTCGGGATGCGGCGCGGAGTTACACTGCCGGGATCCGGCCGTGCCGGGATATCTGCCCAGCGAGAAATACCTGAGCCTGCTGGGGCCTGAAGCGCTCCAGAAGCAGAAGGAAGGTGAAGGAGGACCGAGAGAAACGAAGGACGGGCCGAAGGCCTGGAAGGATCCCGTCAGGAAGGCGCTGGAGAGAACGGTGTGTCAGCGCTGCTGGCTTCTGGTGCACCACCACCAAGCCCTCAAGGTGGAAATGTCCCGGGAGGCATATTACAAACTGGTGAGCGCAGCCTTAAAACGGCCTCCTCGTCATGGACGCTCACACCTTGTGCTCTGCATGGTGGATATGCTAGATCTGCCTGACTCGATTCTGCCTGACCTGTCCGAGTTGGTGGGGACCGATGCTCACGTATTTGTCCTAGGCAACAAGGTGGATCTTCTGCCTGCTGACTCGCCAAAATACCTGAAGCACCTCCAGGAACTGCTGTTGAAGAATTGTGCGGATGCTGGCCTTGTGGATTTGAGCCAGCCTTTGGGAACCCCAAACCAGCGTATCATTGATGTGCACCTCATCAGTGCCAAGACAGGCTATGGAATAGAAACCCTGATCTCCAAGTTGCAGAAGTCTTGGAAACTAAATGGGGATGTTTACCTTGTAGGAGCAGCCAACAGTGGAAAGTCTACTCTCTTTAATACTCTCTTGCATTCTGACTATTGCAAATCCAAAGCTTCTGAGGTGATCCACAGAGCAACCATCTCCCCTTTCCCTGGTAAGAGGGAATTAAGGCATGCTTTGACAACTTATCCTTTAGACCATTCAGGAAAACCCCCATGGAACTTCTGAGCACTTTGTTTAAAACACATTACTTAAAGGTTGTTCCATGGCTCTTATTTATTGATTTGATTTTTGTCCTGCCTTTATTTTTATAGGTGGAAAACATGCATAGTACTCTTTTTTCCCCCCACAACATCATGTAAGGTAGGTTGGGCTGAGAGTAAGTAACTAGCCCAAAGTCACACAGCCAGCTTTCATGCCTAAGGCAGGACTAGACCTCACAGCCTACTGGTTTCTAGGCCAGCACTTTTAACTACTTTATCAGAGTTGTTTTTGTATAGAAATCCTTTTCCTGAGATGAAATTTGATTTTTCACATATACCCAATGTATCAGAATGTGTTAACCTTTTAAGCACTCTTATTCTTCACAGTATTCTTGGAATGATCCGTAAGATTTACAGATTTCTTTTTATTGTTTCCAATTTAAAAGAAACTGCTGGCTCAGAATCACAAACTAGCCAACTACAGTTTAGCTATTATATTCTACAAACCCAGTCCAGTTTATGGGTCAGTATATCATGTAAACCTGAGAAAGTGAACTAACAAGAAAAAACTGCCTAAATTAAAGACAGTAGCATATATTGTGCTAGCGCAGCTTTTGTGAATTTATTCCAAACTATAAACTTTTTAGATTATATGGGTTAATCTCTTCTTTAGATTATATAAATTAATGTCATCTTTATATGAGTTAATCTCTTCTATAATAGTTCTTAAATGCCATGTGGGTATGTCAAAAGTCTAATTTAAATATACCAGTACCTATGTTCCTGTTGTTCTATGCGCATTAGAATTGTGTGTCAGCAACAGATGTTACAAAGAGCTATAGATCAGAAAAGTGGGAGGTCATATACCCAGTTTGTATTTATAATTCATAAGAATTTTAAGTAACATAGCTATGTCATTTTTGAAGATGATTATAGAGCTGCTTTGTTTTATTTTATTTTTTAAAACTGTAATGTATGAATATAAAGTTGGAGTGATTTATGCAGCAGCCATATCTAAAATGTTTGGTATTGAAATACCATACTATATGGTGTTGCTAGTCTTGAACATTAAGTCACCCCTGACAATTTCACTGTATAGAAGTTTATATAGTTAAATAATTGAACTGCAATATGACATGCACACACACACTATCTATCTATATCTATCTATCTATCTATATTTCATATGGTGTAACAGAATACAGCATTAGTGCATAAAAATTCACAAAACATATAAAATATGTATCAAAATGTAAAACACCAGATCAGTGAATTATTTTAAAAACATGCAGTACAAGTGATAAATGCAATTATGAATAGATTTAAATTATGCATGAGTATTTACTGGAGTGACAAAACTTATGACTGGATATCTAAATCATTTAGCCATTGGACAGCAATACCTTTGAGGTGATGTATTTCATGCAGGGATCCAGGAAACCTTCTGAGGAAGCGTTTTATTACAATATGATGTAAAGTTTCCACAATCACAATTAGGATTATCAACCAGCCCTATTTATATTTCCAATATTGACACCTGCCATGATTGGTTCGAATTCAGTTGGGTCTGTCCAGATTTTCCTTGGAGATCAAAGCTGAAGGGGTGCTGTACTGTGTCAGATACTAAATTAAACAGATC